CTTGTGTTTGCTTGCCATTGTGGGCTCCCTGCGTACTTATGACACTTTTATGCGTGGCACATGGCGTTGAAGGTACATTTTTGCCATTTAATCTCACACCAGACCCAGTATGACGGTCACTTTGTGCCTGATGTGCGAGTCTTGACTGTGCTAGCGCACACTGCGCCTTGAAGAGCATTCACCATTGTTTGTCCTTTCTTTGGTTGTTGGTCTTTAGACGCGTGTTCCCATACCAAAATCTTTACATAGTTTGGGATTCACCTCATCAGACTGGCACTGTCTTTGGCATGATTTCGAACGAGACGTTTCTCTCTTTTCCCCCATATTCTCCTGTTACTCTTTCGCATTCATCGCTTGCACTCACTTTTTATGTTTGTGACCATGCTCTTCAAAAATAAATGATAATAGTAGTAGTAGGTCGAAGTTCAAGTTTTAATGTGAATCAGTTAGAATATCTTCTAGTGCAATCAAGTGCATTAAAATACTACATTTTACTCATGCCTCAAATGAATACGCGCCTTTGACAGCTTACTTATATCATACATACTTATCACACTATCATATCTTGTTCACTGCATGCCCAAGGAAGCTCTGAACGAAAGGCTTAATCTTTGGTCGTCTGCATTAGGGAGGACAGCAAACAAGACAAGATGTGCGATTTGTACTTAAGGAAAAATTTTTTTCAGTGAAATGTGGTTCAAAAGGAAATGGATTGAAGGGGTTTAAATTTGGCTTTGGTTTTAAGATAGCGAACATTTCTATTGCTCTTTCCCTACAGTTTTACATTAAATCTTCCTTTAGGGTCAAACATAATGCCACAGGATTCATACACACTGCACCGGACTTACTTTTCACTGTAAACTTATCATTAAGTCTTTTGACCGTTTACTTGTTCGATGAGCTGGACCATTTGATTGCAGATGTTTCAACACCAATCGAGGTGACACCATCAGTGAGTCTTCAGGGATCGTACTGTTTAGCACAACGCACTGATGTCATCTCAATCGATGATGAAACGTTTGTAGTCGAATCACCCAGCTCGACCAACAAACCACAGACCATATACGCTGCTCGAACTACCAAAATTCTCCTCAGTAAGCTTTTTGTCGACTATCTGCACTTCTGGTGACCTCTGCGATAAGTTTATATAAGAATCAAATAAATATCTTAAGAACAAAATGGTGTCTTGGAAGCAAAATGCTGGTCAAGATTGTACCATCAAAAGGGTCTCCTTCAGAAGATGGTTCATCAGAATTTAGATAAGCGAGTGACATTCAATAACCCGGGCAATTGTTCTGGGTGTTGTAACATCGGCGAAATCAACCTGAGAGATTACAGTGTGAGAAAGGCCGTTGTGATACAGTTTGATATAAGCCCTTGTGATGTGAGCGGTTGAGTCGACTGTCACCTTTTGCTGCTTAACCGCAAAATGTTATTGCATCTAATTTAAAACGCACCTGAATGACAATAATTGGTCACACAGGATATACCGGCTGACCAAAAATACGAGGCTAGCCTAGCTCGTCCTTAATTTAGGTGCGTACATTCCGGATTTGGTGATCCAATCTTAGCACTATGCAGGTTTCTCTCTTGGGTTGCAGTCAGCATTTTATTCTTTAGATGCTACGATTGACTGGCAGGCAGTGGAGCTCTACATATTCATAATCCTGAGACAATCTCATAGATACAGGCACTTAGATTACTTCATGTATATGCACCTGTTTGATGCAAAAGCTGGCCAGTAGGCCATAAGTATAAATAACCAGTTATCTTCTAGGCGAATTTTTCCTTCTTCAGTCAATATCTGTATGACATATTGCCATTTTGACGAATAAAGTATCTTAAACCTATGGATGGCCTACAGAAACGCCTGTAAAGTGTTGTGCGGTAGGTACCGTATTATGGTAAGGCTTATCTTCAGGTATCATGAATTCAAACAATTTCCCGGCGCAGATGTTCATTGCTATACCATCATGTTAAGACTGAATGATCACTTGATACTGGCCTCTGACAGTTGATTTTGACCTCTCGGATCTACGTCAGTAACTTGCAGACACTACCTGGCAACAAATAAAACTATCTATGTCTCATGAACTGTACATAGGTGGGATTTGTTCACGGAGAATTTAGCTGAATTGTCGATCTTTGCATATAGTATATATATATATATATATATATATATATATATATATATATATATATATATATATATATATATATATATATATATATATATATATATATATATATATATATATATATATATATATATATATATATATATATATATATATATATATATATATATATATATATATATATATATATATATATATATATATATATATATATATATATATATATATATATATATATATATATATATATATATATATATATATATATATATATATATATATATATATATATATATATATATATATATATATATATATATATATATATATATATATATATATATATATATATATATATATATATATATATATATATATATATATATATATATATATATATATATATATATATATATATATATATATATATATATATATATATATATATATATATATATATATATATATATATATATATATATATATATATATATATATATATATATATATATATATATATATATATGCTCCCAAGTTGCGCATCGAGTGAAATTAGCAACGGATTCGGGATAGTTAATTATGCCAATTACAGGGAATGCTATACATTCACATGGGGTATTCAACTATAATATTAAGCGTAGTTTACAGACCTTCAATGTGCTGATGAAACCACCGTTCTGGTCAATAGCCTAGCAGAAGGTACACCTTCCAGCCTTTATGATTTATTATTGAGATGCTTAACCAAGATGGTAAGAGACAAAGTTCGTGAACACATGACAGGATGTTCGAGCTAAACTTCACTTGGCAACGAACCTTTGATGTCTCTAATTTGGCCACCTGGGCAAGAAAAAATAAATTAAGCGTCAATGATATTTGGACGTTCATAAAAATAGTAAACCTCGCCGCAACATTTGCTTCTTATCAGCAACGAAAGATGCATGTGAACCCTCATCTTCTTCTAGGTTTTGTCAACATACTTTGCACAGCCAACTTACTGACAGCGTATCCAACGGTGGTGTTCGGCTTTCATATAAGAGCCGACTAATTTTACCGAGATTCTTAGCAGTGCATGATGTCAATGCCAACTAAACTGGATCATATTTTTGCCAACTTTTTCACTGATGTCTGCAGCTTGAAATGCCACGAGACAGGAGAGCTGATACCTGAAAAAACTAACCTAAGGAACCAGAATAGTAATCTTGTGTTTCCTAAACGCACTCCAAGTTCATCGTTGGAAACCAAAACGTCTAAGACTGCGCAGAGCATGCTGTGCCCATTCATCATGGACAGAAGCAGTCAGGAATACTAGCGAGTCCTCCCAAAACATAAGCAAAAATAGTAAGACCGCGTGGAAGACGGAAAAAGTAGAAACGAAGTACCGAATGTATCAACAAAAGACGCATGACCGTTTTCACCTAACATAGGTTATAGAAAAATGTTGATTCAACTGGAATTTCTCCTTTGGTGGGACACAGTCGTTAAAAGGTTAGATTGATTCTACCGCAAAATCCTTCAACAGTTCACGATTTCTCCGCCCTTATTGGGGCTCTTTAGGTAAGAACAGTCTGTTAGTTTCTGTCAAATTGATATTCTACACACCAAATAATGTGTAGCGTTCACGCATTTATATTACCACACCTGAAAATTCAGCTGTATGGTTGGTTAACACCAAGTTACGTTAGGATTCCACCTCATTACCATACTGTCTAGATATGTGATAAAGTGTACAAAAGCCCCGAGCGCCAAACAGGAGAACTGATTTAGGAAAATGCTGCACTTAACAATCGATGCTAAAACGCCTTGGGGTCTTATAACTAAAATAGCATCCAAAACGTTTTAGTTTTGATAGGCTATATTTATTCTGCTGTCAGCGACTAAGATTTATCTGCGTGCACAGAGAGGCGAAATATCCGGCAGATAAACCCACTCTGCTTGAGCTTGTTTCGAAATTGCCAAGTTTTTTAGACAAATAGAAGCAGGTTCAGTTTTTAAACTTCGGATCAAGTGATATTCACCCGAGAGGTGTTGCACCGTTGTTTGTCTGAAAAACTTTGGCTTTTGCTTGATGCTGAACCTAAAGCTGTGCATCACATGTTCTTACCCCTCACTGCAACTTCCTTGGTAAGTTCGTACTACACCATAGAACCACACATTCTTTAGAACCCAATAAAATGCCTAAAATTAGTTGGCTTTTAACGCGAGCAAGCAATATAAGGACGTTTTCTATGGGCTTTTGAAGGTTCACACTAAGTCGCATTAAAATTCTGATACGGTATTTCAAATACTTTGTTAGTCATGTAATGGAAAACCCCTTTCATGAAAAACCACTCTGAAGTCGCATTCTCCAAGTCAATGAGTATTACGCTAATGGGTGGAATTATTCGGCTAGTGGCACTCCTAACCAGTGAAAGGCTTGGTTCACACTTTTTCTTTTGCTAAAATCTGGATATATCGCTCTGTTTGAAAAAAAACGACACCCAGAGGTTCCCATATTTTTATCTCAGTTTCATGGTTAACTACAAGGGGGACGGTTAGAAAACAGCAGTTGATCAAATTACAGTATTTCGTCGATAACTAAGCCATTGTGTTTTTGCTTTTGTGTGGTGAAAACGGTAGCCTTAAGTGAATAGTGATAACTTGTCACTAGTCTCGAAACTGAATTGTCAACATTTTTCCCATGAGAATCATCATTATTACTCAGAAGTTAAAGTTATACGTCTGAATTAGCCTAACATCGTATGATTTGCTCTACTTTAAGAGGCTAAATACACTTGAGAAACACAATGTAAAACCACACTTATGTGGATCGTTGCTGTTTTGTCAGTCAGATAAAAACTATGGAGGAAATAGCAGAAAACTAGGTCTTGGTCATTTCTTACCGAAACAGTCAAATGGGCTGTTTCCTATATACTGAACACTCCAAGTGACCTCGCTAACTCTCTCCAATGGAGGCAATTTTTTTTCAATCTGGAGGATGACACTTCGGGAAGCATCAAATTGCCCTGTTTTATGGTGTATGACGATAACTGAGTGTTCTCAT